GGCCTAGACCCTTCTTCAGAAAAAGAGTCTAGGCCCGAAACATCAGCCTTCCTGCTCCTCTGATGCTGCTTGGCCTGCTGTGTTCATCCAGCTCTGCTCCTTGTTATCTCAACTAGTGCACATTCTGTGTTTTGCATGTATTCTACAAAACACGCTCTTAATAGGCATGACCAAGTATTTGATGACAACACAATACATAAGGGAAATGTGCTTACCTACTCATCCCCATCTGCAGTTTTCACAGGGCAAGGGGAGCCCATCAGAGAAGAAGTCACTCCCAAACAGCCCAGCAGAGCCCAACACCACCCAGCACCAACCCAACCTGAAGCAGGTACAGGTAGAGATAGACACATCATGGCAAAGGCTGATACTGAGTTGGCCAGCATGCTGGCAAGGAAAAGACAATGATGAGTGCTGTTTGATAAAGGCTAGCAGATGCTTGGTAGAGATCCAGCATAATATTTTGTCCTCTTCAGCTGTGCAAGGGAGCAAATCTTAGTGGCTATGGTCTCAAACTATGTGGTGTGGAAGTTAATGGTTTTGCTTACAAATGGAGATTAGTAAAGAATGGCAGTGGTACTGACTCACTTCCCTAAACATTGCTAAAAGGAGACATGATGTTGAAACCATTTGTCTTGCACTCAACAGGGCTCAGAGCAAAGAAACCAGACAAGGAAACCAATTTATACAGCATGAGAAGAAGGTGCTGGTTGGTTGATCCATTACTGGCATGGAAATGCAGCAAAAACAGTGAACTGTCAAACTGATTTCTCAGACTAAGCAAGTTGATTCTGATTGGTTAGAGGCTTGCCATGGAGCTGTGTATTGGCAGTCACCATGATCCCTTTCCAGATGAAAAATTTTGAAATGTATATTCAAATGCTTTCCCAGAAGTTTGTTATCCTGAATTTGGATGGAGGGGTAATTCAGCAACCAGATGTCCACTGAAATCCTCCAGATGTGAGATGTTTCATTGTTATCTGCTATTAGTTATGCGTCAACAAAAATGGTACCCACAGTTGAGGAAATATTTCTGCTGTGTACAGCTGCACAGGGATATTGTTTCAGGATTCCAATGCTACTGTAATAGTGCCTTGGATACTCAACATCTAAGGTGCAATGTCGAGAAACAGCTGCTGGAGAATTGCAGCCTCGGGATTTCAGGACTTCAGTTTGCCTACTCCTCACACATATTTAGCATCAGGAGCAGATCCCCTACCAATGTCTTTTGTGGGATTAACACAGCAGCAATGGCAGGAGTGTGAACATAGTTACAACATCTTCATCAGTGGTATTAAATGTGATCTGAAGACATTGAGCCCCTGGTGAGCTGCATGCATTTTAAATGCAGGTGCAGATATCTAATCTTCACTTGGTTACAAAGCCTTCCTCTGCCAATTAGGAATAGGTGAACTGGGATCAGCTCAGAGTTTATTTCAGGTGATCCAGGTTCAAGGCATTTGAAGCCCTTCATTCTGCAGAAATATTTGTTGTCCAAAAGCAGCACAATTAAAGTGGATGCATTGTGCAGTTAAAACCTAAGTGCAATTAGCAGAAGGAATATCTTCATCATTAATTGGAAGAATTCGCTGACCAAGTCATGTCACTATCTCTGCCCGTAGACAGTGTTCCTCCACTTTCAGTTCCCCGCTCTTCTGGTTTCACAGCGATACATCTCCCCATTTCCTTCTTGTGCATCACAGGTCAGAATTATATAATTTTACAGCATTCCCTAGATTTGTTTAATCCCATTTCTACAAACTAGACAAATAACTAAAGAATGGCTTTAGCACCTCACACACCTGTTCAGCAAGGACCCCAGTGGACCCATGTGTTCCATTGTATCTGTCGTCTATAATCATGTGTGTCATGTAGCAGCAGCTATTGTGGAACTGAATAGCCAACATCTTCAAGGAGGCAACTACTCTGCCTTTCATTATTTTAACACTGCCTTCAAAATCTCTGATTTACCAGAACTCTGCACTAGAGGTTTTTTTTTTATCGTGTTGGTTTACAAGTAGCAAGGTTGATATAGCGCACATGTACTGCACTGTTGGAGGTGTTGTCTTTCGGGTGACAAGTTAAACCATGGTCCAATTAAACCAATTGCTCTTTCAGGGAGGCATTAAAGATTTAAACAAAGAGAAGGGGAGTTATTCCCAGTGTCCCGGCTAACATTTGTTCACAAAAACAATTTGTCTGTTTATTTTTTTAATGCTGTTTGTGGGATTTTGTTATGTATGAACAGGCAGTTGCATACCTGTCTTTACAACGGTGACCTGAAAAACATTGAATTGGCTGTAAATTGCTTGATACATCCTGAGGTCTAGAATGCGGCTACA